AATTCAATTAAATTATCTATAAATCAATGTACACCTACAATATATCATGCCTCCCAAATTAACTTAATGCTAGAATCTTTACAAAAATAATGCCCTGTCACCTGTCCGTTGGGCTGTATTTTTTCTTTTTCGACAAATAAATCAAAAATCAGAAATCCGCCTCTGCTTTTGGCCATTAAGTGTTTGCTCAGCCTGCGGCTTAAACTCAATTGTTTGGCTCTTCGGTATTTGGTATTTCTACGCCTTTGTCCGTATTTTTCTGCGTCGCAAAACACGGGTCTTTCCCAAGCCCCTTGATCAAAAAATACAACAAAATAATAAGAGAAGTGAGAAAAATGGAAAAAAAGGGGGCATAATGGGACATAATGAACGTGTTATATAATCGCAGAGCACATCAAAGTTCAATGCTTGCCATTGAGACGCTTCTAGCACTATCATATCACTCTGTGATATTATGAAATGCGAGTGGGAATACGAAAACGAAATCTTATCTAGCAGCGGCCACGAGTCTGGATGCTATATACCCATATGCCCGTCCGCCTTTTCGTATTCGGATTCCGAATCGGATTCGGGCTCATCAGCTACGTGGCTGGTCATACGGTGGCTCTTATCGCAGGGAGCTGGTAATTATTTGGCTATAAATAACAATAAAAACCTGATCATAAAACTCACAGCGCACCTTATCACGATAATGATCGTTGGCCGGTTGGCCTGGCTACAGTGTTTCTCTATTTCATTTCTGAACGAAAGCCCCCTGCCCCTTCTTCTGTACTTCCAATGAGAAAAGCTCAACTCAACGGAAATCATCATCAGATCATCGGAGATCCATGCTAATGGAAAGTTTTGACTCCGGCTTGGAAGTTTTCCCAGCGCCTTGAAACTCCGATTCTAGAGGTTACAGCCGAGCTCATGCGTTGTTTTTTCCGTTTTTCATTCACAAAAGAAACTCGTCAGCGACAACAAAAAGAAACCTGCAAGCATATAATATAGGTGATCCATATATATCTACAATATATCTACGCATTGGATGTAAACAAGTTTCAGTTTTGTTTTTGGCTGCTGTTCGCGGCTTATGTAATGTTGGCTATGGATTTTATCACTTGCTGCGACTTTAAAGTGTTAACCAGAGGAGGAGGTTCTTGAAAAGTAGCAAAATTAAATATTAAAATATAAATTTAACCTTTGCTTAACTCTTTGTTAACCCCCAGAAACACTGCAATTTACTCTCCACTTAAATTATAATCCCAGCCATTGTTTGTCCAGAGTTTTAAATTCTAGAATTTATCTAGCAGCCTTCCCAAAGTAGATAGCTATGAACATTACAATTAAAGTAAATATATAGAGCCGCCATAAATTGTGCAATAAATAAAAGCGGGGATTAGCAGCGGGTGTGCTAAAAGAGTTATAAAAGAGGTGAATAAGTGGCGCATTTTATCAGATATTATTCGCCTTATTTAATCATGCTATAACGAATTCCGGGAAAGTAAGCGATTACGTGCAAGCATGAATTTCAGTGAATTCTATAGTCAGAGCACGATTTTTGTATTTTCTACCACATTGTGTTAACCAGTTTCGCTAACTTCTTTATCGGCAAAAGAGGAGCAGACTCTTACCCGAAAAATGCAAATCAAGGGAATCACTAATTACACCTTGATGTCTAGATTCAAATTCACAAATGATGATGATGATGGAGCGTAAAAGGCGCGCCTGTTTGCCGTGTTGCCAACTTTAATGAAGTGATAACACATCGTCCGGGCCGCGAAGACGCTCCAATTTGGCTCTTCTGCGGCGATGCTAATTTGCAGTTTACATAAACTTGATTTGCCCAGCGTATTAACGAGACGAGAGTCAATATTTGCCCGGCCATTTGGCACTGATCGTGCCAACGAGGATGCGTCGTAGTGGAGACCACGGGGCGGATGAGTAATAAAGTCAATCTTTCAGATTTCAGGCTGTCATTCAAGACGAAGTCGTTGTGGCTGTGTAAACGATCGCAACACGATATCATAACAACAGATATAGCTGCCATATAGCAGCCGCAGAAGTCAGACATTATTGTTATCATTATCAGCATTGTGTTTCGTTTCGTTTAGTTACGTTTTGTTTTGTTTTATATCTGCAACGTCAACAGCCCCGAAAAAAAGTGAGTAAATAAAATATGTTTAGCTATGGGAAAATTATAAAGAAAATTTAGCCAGCAACAAAGGATAGCCGATCGCTTTGTATGGCAAACTAAATATATAAGTCGAGTCCATAATTTAAGTCGCCGTCATTATTATCGCTCGCTTGGCTATATTTTTGATTGATTAATGAGCGACTATCTGAGAAACTTGTTCGTCATTAAGAACCATAATTCGGGTATTTGTTTTCATCTATTTTAAATGATGATTACTCCAGGTGAGTTCGATTTATGGCCATGCCCGCGGCCAGGAGAGTGTATTTATGGCCAAGTTCCTGATCTACAAATTGATAATTCGACTGACACGAATTTATGTATTGTCATTTCAGAGATTTTTTCATAACAATAAATTATTTTGTTTAATTAAATATAGTTTGCAATGACAATTGAAATTGTTTGCACCGATCAAGGCTTGCATAATTTGCATATCAAAAGGTTTTCAACGTAATAAAGTAATTTAATTTTAATTAATTTTCAGCCATTTAAAAAATTCTTAAATATTTCAACACAATTGATAGTAAAAATATTCACTGATTGCCTGAAAAAAAAAAAAAATGTGAATATAATTCCCATCGTTGAATATTCAGTTATGTAATTGTTTAGTTTATAGTTTAATTAAGCAACCAATTTTAATTGCCCGCAAAGCGTTGAAATAATTGCTCGGATATATATTTTCGGTTGGATAGTTGGATAATAGTTAAGTCGATAATTAGAATTAAATAAGACTCAATAAATCTGGTAGGTATAATCGTGTTCTATTGCCCATACCGTTATGAATTTGTACGATTATTGCGCGACTTATTGTGCCATAAATATTTCATAATTAAAAATAGAGTTTGATTTGTATCTGTGTGTTTGTTTGCCTCTGTTTGTAGTTTGTAGTCGGTTGTCTGATGTTTTTAGTTTTTTGTTTTTTTTTTTTTTGCGGAAGTGCATTGATTTTCCACTCAAGTGGGCACTTGACTCGCCGCTGTCGTCATGAATTGATTTTCTCACCTTTATTTACTTAACTTTTTCAGCTTCTCCTCTCGCTGCGCGCGGAGCTCGAAAAATGTTAATTAGTTTTTTTTGCCCCGGCGGCCAGCACTTTTAATTAGAACTTAGTATTAGTATTTCTGTTTGTCAGCAGCGGCAGTTGCAGTTGTTTCTAGGTGATTTGTTATCGCAACATTTATGCAAATTGCCATTGCAAGTGGGCAATTTGTGTGCGGAAATCCGCCTGCAACGCATCTTCATGCGACTTGGTTATCGAAAAAACTCGAAAACTTGAAAAAAGCGAAAAGGCGCGCTTGTGGATCTCAGTGAAAGTTTTCTATGCTGATCCGGGGCGCCAGATGTGAGCTGCCTGCCATATAAGCCATATACGATATATCTATATACGATATATGTGAGATATATGTATATATGTATGTACATTTAAGCCCCGTAAGCCACCGACGCCGATTGACAAGCTGCGCATGCGCGGCCATCGCTTAAATAACGCCCCGTGTCTCTGCATCACGCATGCCAAAATTAAAAATCCCAAGTCCCCGGGCCTCCAAGTCCCAGTCCCAGATCCCAAAAAAGTATCCATCAGATACAACGCGTCACATGGCCATAGATGGGCGTGTGGGTGTGGACCACCCACAAAATGCCATTTGTGCCAAATTATCCGACATAACGATGCGGCGTGTACGTAGGGGAATTCAACTGAATAATGAATAATTCGAAAATTAAACACGACCCAAATACTTCCCCTAAGATCTTGATTTGATCCAGTTTCGAAATGTGATTTATAATAATTTTTCTATATATTTTCTTATTTAATTTTCCATCAGATTATATTATATTATTTTAGCTTACTCAGCCGACTCCATAAAGTCTGGAATTTTCAGTTTCATTAACTCACACCGCCCTTCATTTGAAAGTCATTCACTTTCTTTAGTTGAAAGTCTCTGTGGGCAAACGTTTTAGGGTAGGCAAGTGAAAAGTGATTATCGTAAGCTTGGCCACAAATAAATTAGGTGCAAAAAATTGGTTGCCGTATTTCAACATTTTTAGGGCATTACTTAAGGTCCACACATAGCTCGAATGTTTTGCGGGAACATTAAATATTTTATATGATATTCAAGAGAATATCGTTTCGAACTAAGCCAACTTCTACGCTCATCTGAAAAAGGGGAACAACCCCATTTGCCACGCCCTCTTGGCTTTCATTAGAATTGCCTAACAACTTCCACTTTTGTTTCCACTTTGTTCGGTTTTATTTTATTTATATTTATTTTTCTATTCCCATTCCGTTTTGTTTTACTTTTTGTTTTGGGTCCCACTAAGCCGCAAAGTTTATGCAATTTGTTTATTTATATTCGGGTCTTGGGTTTTCGCCCGTGCAAACGAATTCTCATGCTTAAGACAGTTCGTTGTATTTTTACAAAATGATTAATTGTTGCAAATAATGTCCAAGTGCCTCGATTACTTTCAAAGAAATGCAATATTGAGATGGGTTATATAAATACATCCGATTTCAATGAGTATTACACTTATATAATTCAGTTTCTTGCGGATAATTTTGGTATATACCGTTCTTGTATATCAAAGAAAGTTATATAGCGTTTGTAAAATATACCAAATTTAGCACATAAAATGTTTAAAATACGCTAATTTTATTTATTAAAACAAAAATACTAAGCCAGGTTTACAAAAGTACTTTTCTAACCCAAATCTGCAGTCCTTCAATTTATCTTCACATTTTAAAGGTCCCAGAAATTCTACATCCTTCGTTGGAAAGATATAAGAAAAGAAAAGATCCTCATATCACCGTTTCGTAGGCCCCTCCACTTACCGTTATTTGCGGATCTGCAAGTCTTTGGCGAGAGAGCGACTCCCAGTCCTCACTGTGTGTGCGTGTGTGTTCGTGTGTGCGTGAGCGCGTGTGGAAGGCCCAAAAAACAGGATGCGCCGCTTTGCCGCTTAACGAAAAAAAATGCACTTCCGTCTTTTAATGCGTTCAACGTTGTATTGGTGAGCGCGTTTTTGAATTCCTGAATTATGATATTATTGTTTTTATTTTGTTTATTGTTTTTTTTTTGGCAATTAAATGTTATGTAATTGGATTTTGTTGCTCTTTTGTTCTGGACTTCGAAGCAGGAAGCTTAAGGGGGGCTTTGGGGGGCGAATGGTTTACATTTCCGTTGGAAAAAAAAATGGATCCGAAAAAAAAAGTCACGAGGATATTCGATCACCAGAAAGTCACATTCAGTTGGGTATTTTATTTATTTACGGCGTTGGATTGGATTAAGTTCGATTTATTTTTGGAAATTAAAATTTTTTTTATTTTTCAGAGCGAGAGAAAAGCACACGACCAACTTGAAAACGCACTAAAACGGTATTAAAAGCCGAGACTAAAATTAACTTTGCAAGTAATTTACAAGCCCGAGCCGAAGTTAGCCGAAGCGGAGAGAGAGGCGAGAGCGCCCGAGAGTTCACTTCACTTTTTTGTATTGCTGCTGTAGCTGCTGCTGCTGTTGTTGCTGCTGCTGCTGCTGTTGCTGTTGTTGCTGTTGTTGTTGTTGTTGTTGCCTTGTCTTGTCACAGATCGTTATTATAATTGTTGTTGCGGGGGAGAGAGACGCGAGGCGCAGGAGAGGCGAAGGAGAGATGCGATGCGATGCCCTTGTTGTTGCTGCGATGCCAGATAATGGATAATGGCAGAAAATCAGCTAAAATCAGGCAAAATCAGCTGCTCGTTATCGCTCTGCTCTCGAGTGTGCTGGTGGGCCAAACGTTGATCGCTGGCCGTTCGCTTGGGAATGATGTTGGCTTAAAGCCCGGCGCTACGTAATATACGCTCAGATCCTGTTTGCATATGCCGTCGACGTCTCGGCCGGCGTCGCTGCCGGCGTCGCTGTCGGCGGCAGAAGAGAGCGGCGGTGCGAAGAGATCTGCGAGAAGAGAAGAGAGATCACAAGCTTTTTTTGTTGGGTGTTATTTTTGTTGTATCTCAGCCCACCTCGCACAGTGGGGCCAAAAGCGGAAAATGCCAGTTGGCCGTCTGCCCGTTTGCCCGTTGGGCCAACAACAAGAAAGAAATTGAATCAAATTGTTTTGGTAAACATTAGCCACTTGGCAATGTGCCTATTACGTTTTAACGAATCAAATATAAATAAAGTGCAAAATAACATATAACATGTTCACAAATATTACAAGAACCTATTTAAAGAATCGTAAGAATTTGAAGATCGCTAAGATCTTTCTCTTTCGAAAACGAATTTCGAATTTTACTGTCTTATTTGAATTTCGTAAAAGAGATCGTCAGTTCGGATCGTCAGTTGTTTGACCAACAAATTAATCTAATCAAATTGATTTTGCAAATATTTCCTTGTTGGCAAATTGCCTATTACGTTTTACAAAACAAATGTAAGTAATATAAAAAATGATTAATTTGAATTAGAAGGCAAGGCGATCTGTTTTTCTTACATTTGCATGCAAATTAGTTGTTTGCCGAACAAATTAAACTTAATCAAATTGATTTGGTCAACAGTAGCCACTTGGCAAATTGCCTATTACGTTTTTCAAATCAAATATAAATAAAATGCGAAATGCCATTAAATACAGTATGCTAACAAGAATCGCTTTAAAACAGTTATGGAAATTTCATATTTTTTCAACCTACAATTCCTTGAATCAAAAATGAAAACCTTTTAAACTGCTATTTGCATAATTCACATTGAATCAAATTAAATTAAATTTTATTAAAAAGTAAATGATTGGCGATAGAATTCGGAGTTATTGAATTCCGGCCCACTGTGCGGAAGTCGACTGCGCAGCATCGAACTTGTGCGAATCGGTGTTGCTGTTCGATTCACTCTGGGATTCACACGCCAGCCAATCGCTTCGAGCGGCGCTTTTCAACTTTCATTAGAAATTATCGGATGCCATCGACGCCACGCCCACTTTCGTGGAGTATCCCAAAGTGTGTCTGTGTGTGTGTGTGGGGATATACTGGAAATTGGATTTAACGGCCGCGATATCTCCATTTCCCCCGAGAACAACCCCATCGCCCCTCGATTTTAGCACATCTTAATTCGATAATTGCCAATAATTGCCGTTAATGGAAGAGAAGAGGAGCGCAACGCCATTGATAAATCGAGGGATATAACATATAGGGGGTAACTCAAAAATATGTTTTTTTTTATTTTTCGTTGGCTGCAATTGTTTGAGCCCAGCAAAACAAACAAAACAAAACAAAACAAAAAGCCCCTCGAACTTCCACTTCCAATGAGACCTTATATGTGTGTGGGCAAAAACAAAAGAGCCCCAGACAAGCCGTCAAGCAATTTTTATCGTTTCATTTTTAATTTATTAATTATTTATTTGTTTGCTTAAACGAACGACGCTGTCGTTTATTGTCGTCTTCCCATCGCATCTCGGTTTTTGTGTCTCAATTTCGGTATTCCGACGTCACGATATGGATATGATATGATATGGATATTGATGTTGATAAACAGATGCGGGCATCCGATTATATACTCGAATCGAACAATCGACCACCATATCCGCAATGTTTTTGGCCTTCTTGCCTCGCGAGAATCGGTCTAAAAAACATTTGTTCGAGCGATTGTTTCTCGTTCTTTGTCAACTTTATGTTTATGTTTGAACAGAATATACCAACGTTTTTGTGTAAATAAGACCGAATGATGGGGGTTCGTTAAACCCGGTTTCAAGGCCAACATATAACCCATTTCTGTGGCTTGTTTTGAAATATAGCTTGATAACTAAATAGAAATAAATTTATATTTTGATAATACCAGGATTAATAGAATATTAAAAAAATAATTACAATATTACTTTATAAGGAACTCTATATATATCCACTCTTTGAACGCCTTTAGCACTGCGCAATTGATCCTAATGGAATAATACTAAAGTGCAGGCCTGCTTTAAACTTGTCGACGTCATCAGGCGGACAAAGAGCATCGCATCGCTGTTTATCAGTCTCGTGTATCTCGTGTATATATGTTAACCATGTCCATAGATAGTCGGGGATCGGGAATCGGGAATCGGGGTATGGTGTCCCTCGTTTGATTGTCAATTTATTTATTAGACATCGCGATTCAATTCCCCTTTTGCCCAACCGCCCGCACATTTCAATTAAACACCCAAGACACAATACAATCTGCACTGATCTGCCCCAAGCTGACTCGGTTAAGATCGAGTGCGTATAGAATAGTATATAGTATACAGACTGATTCATTTGGCCTCCTGAATGCGTCACCCGGATGCCAAGATCCGATGCGACTTCCAGCCATAATGGCTTATGCAATTATCGTAGACACCACATGATGATACGATGATATGATGATAGCCCCATGTAACCGCGAGATGGGGCGCTAATTGGAGGCGCGACACGTGCGAATTTCTTCTAAAGGCTATAAGCTATAAACTGTAAGCTGTATTCTGAACCACCTATTAATCAAATCTGTGTGAAATTGCATAACCACAGCTTCCCCCCTTGATGGCAATGACAAGAAAAAGCCCCAAAACAAAGACGAAAAATCCTCACCAGTCATCTCACAAGATACTTAGATACTTACTCTTCTGGAGGCTGACTAACGCGAAAGATAAGCGGCTGGTCGAGATAAGATAGACGAACGATAGATCTCGAACCCAAAGTGGGGCTATGGAAAATATTTTGGGCATATTCAAATTTAGTCACAAAGAATTCGTCTGGCTGGCAAACTAGTTTTCCCAAACGGTATTTTCAGATGGATTTGAATATGGTAATTCGTTTTGGCTTTACATATTCATTTTTGGGGAAAATTCCATGGGGACTCTCTCTATAGGGATTGAATTATTCATTTTTCCAGCAGAAACACTCATTCTTTATTATCAAAACTAAAAGACCTCTGACTAACGCAGATCTGTGAAATCTTTGGGATCTTTTTTAGGAGATAAGAGTGCGTTAGAATTCGTGGACCAGGCACCGCTGTTTGTGTTTGCCTTTGGCAAATTGCAAATCACTTTACGAGCTCTGCGAACTGTAAATCCAGTGCCGCCATATCTGTGCACATATAGAACCATTTATCTGGACAATCCGGGTGACACCCATGTGGGTCAGACAGCGACGAATATATATTGCCTTAGCGCCCCGGCTACCGCACTTGAATCTTTAATAACCTTTTCAAGTTCACTGCCTCATAGAGCGCCATATCATCGTATAATCGTATCATAATCATTGTTTACTTTCCTATATCCAGCATTTCATCATCTGCAGTAACATTCGATCTCGGATTCGGTCTTCGTCTTCGTTATCGTCAGCCGCCATTCATTCATTAATTCAATCAATTAATAATGGCTAAGAACAATTAACACTTGGCCAAGCCGATACAGATATAGCTCGAGATACAGATACAGATACATTTACACTCGGCAGACCGCTCTGCGCCGGACCCAATTGGTTTCCATCCGCCTCAATCCGCCGATCCATCGATCCATCCAACTCCTCCGTCGCATTCGTATATTATTTTCATTCTTTTTTCCTACTGGTTACTTGTGTGAATTAGGGGCTCTGGCTGCAGGGATCGGTGGAAGTTTTTATGACGTCGATGGACCCTTGTAAAAGTGGGAGAGTTTACATTGAACTGCGCGGTAATTCAAAGAAATTCACTGGAAAAACGGGAAAGCCATAGATTTAATAACAATATTTCGACACTTAATAAATTGGTTTTTGAATAATTACTAATGGTAATAATTATAAAGGGGTTATGTAATTTAAATCAAAATTAAGTGATATTATATATAATAAATAAATTTTTGATAAATATAATAAAGAAAAAGTTAAATATAATTATGATACAATTATATTCTGTATTTTTTATTTCATCTCATTAGAATTAAATAAATAATTTAATATAGTACGCAAAATAAATTGACCTTCGCTGAATTTCCCCTGTAAAGGCAATCAGGCAAATTTAAGCAATACTTTTTCTTACTCATCCTTAGACAGCTTTTGTGTAAGGCAAAACTCTATTCAATTTTCCTGATTGCGCTTTAAGTGCTAGATTTTAATTAAAATAGTACGATTTTCGGGGCGTTGAAGTACTTAATTTAGAAAAGACACCGGGTGAATCACTACTCAAAAGTGGAGTACTTTAAATATATATGGAAATTGATTTATGATATTTTTCGGTCGGTCGGGGTAAGTACATAGATTAAATCGAGCCTTGAAAAGCTATGGACGGTGTGAGTCACTCACTTTATAGAGCAATTCTATCAATTTCGTCAATATGGATGGTCGATTTTCGCACAAAGAATTGTAAGAATTACAGTAGACATTTTCAAGCGTAAACAGTTCGTTAATATCGCAAATAATCATTAAACCGCTTGAACAGCTGTTGTTATTTGCCGCGAATGATGTTCTGGTGCCAAGTGCTGGAAATTATAAATATAGATCCCGAGAGCCTTTGTTTACCAAGTCACAGTTAATTAAATAACCATTTTGTGAATCAAGATAGCCAAGTAATGAACTCAACTAAACGACATAAATCATAGGTGAACACCTAATGAATATTTAA